GGCTGGGTTCTCTCCCCAGCTCTGGGAGGGGAGTGGGGTCTAGTGGTTAGAGCGGGGGGGGGGCCTGATTAACAGCCCACTCCCTACAGCTCTAACCACTAGACTCCACTCCCCTCCCAGAGCCGGGCTAGACCCAGGAGTCCTGGCTCCCAGCCCTCCTGCTCTAACCACTAGCCCCCGCTCCTCTCCCAGAGCTGGGGAGAGAACCCAGGAGTCCTGGCTCCCTCCCCGTTCTCGTCACCTCCTCCAGGTGAGCCCTTGCCCCACACCAAGCCTGAGGCTGGGAAGGGTGGGGGTGGGGTGTCTCCTCCAGCCTGGGGATTGTCTGAGACTCTGACCCCTGGGCCCCAGCCTGAGCACTGGGGGGCACAGATGAGGAAAGCCACGGTGGATTGGCCTGTGCGTTACAGCTGTAAATATAGGTGTGTAGCTATATGTACTCCATGCACCAGAGAAGGGGGTCAATATGTTGGGGGGGGCATGTTAAGGAGAGACTGAGAAAGCAGCAATTGTCCCCCCCTGACCTTCAAGCTCCCCCTAGGGTTATGTACAGGTTCAAAGCTATTTAGTACAGGGGGCCCAGCAAGCGGCGCTCTCCCCTGGCAGGCAGGGCTGGGCCTAATGCCCCAGGGCAGTGCTGGGGGCGCTCTCCCCTGGCAGGCAGGGCAGGCCCCGGTGCCCCAGGGCGGTGCTAGGGGGGGCTGGGCTGCAGGGAGCGCTCTCCCCTGGCAGGCAGGGCTGGCCCCGGTGCCCCACGGCGCTGCTAGGGGGCGCTGGGCTGCAGGGAGAGGGGGGCTCAATAGGGGGCGCTCTCCCCTGGCAGTCGGTGCCTCCTGAAATCTGGCTCGCAGTTGTGTTTGGGTGTGAGATTCTCTTTCACTTCCTGTCCCAAACTTTACGGTTTTGCTGCATAGCCATGAAATAGGGGCCGGGCGAGGGGTCCCCGTGTACCCACCCCCCCGCTCCCCACACCAGAGGAGGCTGCATTTCTGTGCACACAACCCCGGGGGGGTGTCAGACCATGTGGGGGATAGATGGGGGGGGGAGCGCTCAGGTTATGGGCAGGTTAAGCCAGGGGGGAGCCGGCGGGTCAGACCATGGAGATGGGGGAGGTGGGGGGGCGCAGCGAGAGGTGCACGAAGTCGGGGTTGATATAGGTGAAGCCCTGGAATTCGCTCTGATCCAGCCCTGCCATGACCAGCTGGTCCGGGGGGGTCAGCGCTGGCACTGCCCGCGTGAAAAACTTGTCGAAGTTCTCGCCACTCTTCCCGCACTGGGACAGACGGACGGACGGAGGGACAGACGGAGACGGCCCGAGAGAGGCAGACAGACATGGACAGACCACGAGAGACAGATCCAGACAGGGACAGACAGACAGCAAGACAGATGGGGGGGGGGAGAGAGAAAGAAGAGCTGGGTTATTTCCCTTGGCCCCCACCCCTTCACTGTTCCCCCCACCCCGTTACGCCAGTCCCGCTCCTGCTGGCTCAGACCCTAGTGCCCCTCCGCTTCCCCCCCACAGCGCCCCCTCCCTGCAGTCACATGGGGCTCCCCTAATCACAGACTGTTGGGACCCCCGATTCCCCATAGGGCCCCGCACCTGCTCTGGGGGGGCTACGGGGGGTGGCCAGGTGGGGTTGGGGTTCATTGGGGGTGTGAAGAAGGCTGGGTTAGGGGTGGTCACTCTCCAACAGGGGGTGAAGGGCAGCGGGCTGCGGGGGGGTCATTCTCCAGGAGGGGGTACAGGGAGCAGGATGGGGGGTCACTCTTCAGGAGGGGGTGAAGGGTGGCAGGACGGGGGGGCAGAGGGAGCGGGATGGGGGGGGTCACTCTAGGCAGGGGGGGTCACTTTCCAGGAAGGAGGAACACGGAGCGGGATGGGGGGGGGGGTCACTCACCAGGCGGGGGGGCAGGGGCAGGCTGCGGGGTCACTCTCCAGGAGAGGGTTTGGGGAGCAGGATGGGGGGGGGTCACTCTCCAGGCGGGGGTACACGGAGCGGGATGGGGGGGGTCACTCTCCAGGCGGGGGTACATGGAGCGGGATGGGGGGGTCACTCTCCAGGAAGGGGGAACACGGAGCAGGCTGGGGGGGTCACTCACCGGGCGGGGGGTGAAGGGCGGCGGGATCTCCAGGCGCTCCAGGCTCTCCCAGTCCATCCAGCGGAAAAAGCCGTGCTCCCGGATGTCCTGCTCCCCGGCTGGCCCCGAGCCCAGGCGTTTCAGGGGGTGCTTGGTAAGGAACTGGGGGGGGGGGAAACACGGTGACATCAGAGACACAGAACCCCTGGACCAGCTGATCCACCCCTCCCAGCCCCTTGAGGGCGGGCACCCTCCCCTCACCCCAACTCGCCCCCGCCACGGCTTCACCCCAGCCTGCCCCTCCCCCAGAAATTGCGGGGGTCAAAGGCCAGGGTGGCGCCCCCCCAGATATCCCTCACCCCTTTGCAGATGGAGACGGCCTCGCGGGACAGCGACTTCGGGTAGGACACCGTGTGCTCCATGATCGCCTGGAACAGCTCGTCCTCGTCCTCCCCGTCAAAGGGGGGCTGGGGGGAGAGCAGAGGGGGGTCAGAGCCAGTCCCTCCCAGCGGAATCTGCCCCCCCCCCCCCCCCCGGGCACTGAGGCCAGGCTGCCCCCCCCCCCCCCCCCCCCATAGGTACTCCCCCCCCAGCCCCCCCCCCAGTTACCTGCCCCGCTAGCATCTCATAAAGCAACACCCCGAAGGACCACCAATCCACCGACTTCCCGTAGGGCTGGTAGGCAATTATCTAGGGCAGGAAGAAAGCAGGGACAAGTTAGGAGGTTCCAACCCTGTATCACAGGCCCCCAACTCCATGTGGGGACGGGGGGAAACCACCTTATGGCAGAGGAAACTCCCCCGCATCCCCTGCACAAGCCGTGAGCTACAATGTCATACACACACACACACACACACACACACACACACAGAGGGAGATTTAAAAGGCGCACTTCCCCTTTAAGAGTATCCCCCACCTGGCATAGCAAACTGGGATTTGGGGGAGGAGAACATCTGCACTGGGGGGCAGTGCTAAAGCACAGGAAGCAGGGCCAACCTCACTACAGCCCCTCCCATTGGTTTATCCCTCCCCAGCTCCCAACCCTAGGAGATAATGTGGGGGGTGGGTGGGAAGGAGTCACTGCCAGGAGACCAACCCCCCAAAAAGCAGACACCCACTGTGCCACCCTGTACCCCATGTTCACTACTTGCATATGGCTATGTTACATTTTGTACAAAGCACGCCTTGTGAGGCATCATTTGAAAACTCATAATCTGCTGAACATCGCTGTCCTGTGCTAAACTGTGTACCAACATTGTGTATGGAGTTATAAGATTTTACGATATGATTATTACTGAAATGTGTTGTAATGCTGGGTGACACCCACAAGCCAGTTTCTCAGAGACAAAGGCCCACTGGCTCGTCGGAGCCATTACCTGTTTATTCAGACATTCAACAGAAAGGGAGGGAAGGTATAAACAAAAGAATGTACCATTCATATAAAGGACTGATTGCACAGCCCGTATGCCAGGACACTGCCTAACCCCATGACCCAGCAAGGACTTTTCCAGCACAGGGGGCTGGAGCATAAGAAGGGAGAATACATAACACACAAACGACCTCCCCTCTTCACCTTACATCCCTCTGCTCATAACGCCAATGAATACCGGAAGGACACTGAACCGAGGGGAGTGGGTCTAACTGGAAGGCTTTGCACATGGACTGCAGCAGGTTTTCGGGGGAGAGAAATCCGTTTGCTTCCTAATCTTATTTAGCCGGGTAACGTTTAGGAATGAGCTCGCAGATTTCTTTTATTTCTTTTGTAACCAATTCGGACTTTCATGCCTTAAACACGTCTAATCACTGAAAAGCATCGATCTTCCTCTAGGTACCACACGGGTGTTATTCTTGTATCGAAGCTGGTGTGTTTCGGCTGAAGCGCTCGGGAAATCTCTCCTCGGGTTAACGAAGGCTGGGGCATATTCGCACCCCTGGGGCATATTCGCGCACCATTTATGGGTGCAGTGCAGGACACATGCTGGGGTGCAAGGCTGGGGCTGGGGCATTGGCGGGTGTCGCCCTGTGTGGACGTCATGCGTGGCGGGCACAGCAGTGGCGGGCAGACAATCATGCCCCTCAGCTGGGGGCGACTCCACATCCCGAGGTCTGCGGGTGAGCAGAGCCCCGAGAGGCTGGTATGAGGCGCCGCAGAGAATTAAAGGGACAGGGTGTGATGAAGTGGGGGGTTTCTTGTTTTCGGTGGGGTTTCAATGGTTTGCATGCGGAGGGGGTGGGACTCAGTTTCCCTGGGGGTTACTGGTTTAACAAGGTGAAGGGAGAGGGAGTTTGTTGTTGCAGAGGACCGGAGAGGGAACTTGGGACCCCAGCTAATGGCCTGGAGGATGGACACCCCAGCGACCGGTGACCTGAGACCCCGACCCGGAGACCCAGACGGTTCTGTCCAGTGGGAGGACAATGGGCTGCAGAGTGAGGACCCAGTGACCTAACCAGCCGGTTCCAGCCAGAGGACAGAAGCGAGGAGAGGAGGCCCCAGTTTACAACCCTGTTTAACTGGAGAGAAGACAATGGACAGAGGCGGGGCTTGGGGCCGGTGATCTCAGATGCCCAGCTGGGAAGCAGGGGGCTCTGGGCTGGAGAGGGGGAGCAGGCAGAGCCCACCTGGATGCAGAGAGGCTGGGATGTGCTGTGCTGAGGGAGGCCAGGCCTGAGGCCCTGAGAGTTTCCTGTGCTGTGTTCAACTCTCAATAAATCCTTCTGTTTTATGCTGGCTGAGAGTCACTCCGGTCTAGAGAACAGGGTGGCATCAACCCCTTCGGGGGTGGAGGCCCCGGGGATCCAGAGCGAGTGGACTCCCTGAGGGGGCCCACGTCAGAGACAGGTGTGCTAAGGCTCAGAGAGGTGTGGCTCCAGGAGGTGGAGGGGCCTGACCCCGAGAGAGAGTGGACCCCCAAGAAGGGCTGTCGCACTGAAAGGGGCACCCCCCACGGACCGCACAGGGCCAAGAGTGGGCACGATCTGTGCGTCCGTGACACAGGGCAATTCAACAGTCCAGGCCTGGTACTGCCCCCCCCCGGCACTGCACGGTCCCCTTGAGTGGCTGGCGTGGAACAGGGCGGTGGGGGAAGAGCGGGGGTGGGTGGCTGGGGGAGCTCCAGCCCCACCAGCAGAGGTCTCCCCCACCATTCCCCCATAACCAAGTGCTCGGGTTGGGGGTGGGAGGCTGGGGGTGACCCCTCCCCAGGTACAATCTGGACTGTGGGGTCTAGTGGTTAGAGCAGGAGGGCTGGGAACCAGGACTCCTGGGTTCTCTCCCCGGCTCAGGGAGGGGAGTGGGGTCTAGCGGCTGGATCGGGGGCGCTACCTCCGGAGCGATGTAGTCGGGGGTCCCGCAGAAGGTCCGGGTGGTCACTCCGGGGAAGATGTTCTCTTTGCACATCCCGAAATCCGTGATCTTGATGTGGCCCTCGGCATCCAGCATCACGTTATCCAGCTTCAGATCCCTGTGGGGAGAGACAGGACTGGGCTCTCGCCTCCAGGGGGCGCCGGCTCCCATCCGGCCCCAGGGCAGGTAGGGAGCAGAGACTGTAGCCAACAACCCGGCAGAGGCAGTTTCCACTCACCGATAGATGATGCCCTTGTTGTGCAGGAAGAAGAGGCCGATGGCGATCTCTGCTGCGTAGAACCTACAAGCGGGGGGGGGGGGGGGGGGGGGGGGGGGGGGGGGACAGAACAATCAAAGGTGACTTGGAAAATCGTTTCATCACCTTCAACGTCCCTTCAATGTCTTCGCTGCTCCATGGCCACAGAGTGTTTCACGGGGACCCCTCGCCCGGTGCTGGGATGCGACTGCCTCTGGGGTGGGGCACGGGGGCTGGGTATCCAGGGACCCCGGGCCTGGCACTGGGATGTGGCCCCTCTGGGGTGGGGCGCGGGGGCTGGGTATCCGGGGACCCCTGGCCCGGAGCTGGGACGCGGCCCCTCTGGGGTGGGGTGCACGTACATGGCATGAGGCTCCTTGAACTTCCCGACCTGCTGGATGTGGTACATGAGGTCTCCGCCATTGACGTATTCCATCACGAAATAGAGCCGATCCTGGACGGGGCGAGTGAGACGGGGCCATGGGGGACAGAACAGACCCCCCAGGACCATCTACCCCAGTATCCCACCCCGTCCCTAGCCCCCAGATCAGCCCCATGGGCCCATCTACCCCGGTATCCCACCCCGTCCCCAGCCCCCAGATCAGCCCCACGGGCCCACCCACCCCTTTATCCCACCCCGTCCCTGCCCCCTGGATCAGCCCCACAGGCCCATCTACCCCGGTATCCCGCCCCCTCCCTGCCCCCTGGAGCAACCCCACGGGCCCATCTACCCCGGTATCCCACCCGTCCCTAGCCCCGGATCAGCCCCACGGGCTCATCTACCCCTGTATCCCGCCGCCCCGGGGGGTACCGTGGTCTGGAAGGTGGAGTGCAGCTGGGTGAGGAAGTGTGGCCGGTCGCTGAGCGCCAGGACCCGCTTCTCCACCATGGTACATTCCACGTCGTCGTCCTGGATGATCACGTCCTTCTTCAGGATCTTGATGGCGTAGAGCTCGTCCGTGCCCCGCCGCTCGGCCAGCATCACCTGGGGGGACCACAGCCCTGAGCCAGCCAGTCCCTGCCCTGGGGCCGGGTGGGAGCTGGTGCCCCCTAGAGGGAAAAGGCCCCAGGCCCCATTCCCTGCCCCCCTGAGCCAGCCAGTCCCTGCCCTTGGGCTGGATGGGAGCCAGCACCCCCCTGAGGCAAGGGCCTGGTTGTCTCTCTACTGCAGGAGGCCAAGGGCCACTCTAAGATCACAGCTTTGGGGATATGCAGGGAGAACGCCTTCCCCAGAGCGACCACCCTGGCCTTCTGCGGGACCCCGACTACATCGCCCCGGAGGTAGTGTCCCCGATCCAACCACCAGACCCCACTCCCCTCCCAGAGCCGGGGAGAGAACCCAGGCATCCGGGCTCCCAGCCCCCACGGCTCTAACCCACCAGCCCCCACGCCCCTCCCAGAGCCGGGGAGAGAACCCAGGCGTCCGGGGCATCCTCACCTTGCCGAAGCTGCCCTTTCCCAGCACCATGAGGAAGTTGAAGTCGGAGATGTGGAAGCGGCTGGTCCCGAAGAAGCTGCCGTGCTTGGAGTCCGTGGGGCTGGGGGTGGGCGAGGGGCCCGGGCCGTGGCGCACCTTCTGTGGGGGGCAGAGATGGGGCACGGTGAGC